GCGCCCGGCCTTTTCAAATATTTTTGATCCTTGGTTGGTTGAATCAGTGGATGGGATGCAGAAGCTTCCAATATGGAGGGCCAGCAGTACTCCCAAATTTATACATTAAGTCTGGATCTCTCTCCTGATCTCCTCTCTTATATATTCACCAGCACATTGACATCTTCTTGGATGGCAAAAAGGCATCTCAAACTCAACAAGTCCATAAGCATCTGATATATTGTTAGGGTTCTCCTTTCCTTTTCCTACCCTACCTTCAGCTCTGGGTATCCTTTCATCTCCTCTCCCCTATGAACTGGTCCAGTGGGGTTTTTGAAAACCCCACCCTCCTGAGAGTAAGACTCCTTGTTCCCCTTACCATCAATAGACTGGAAGATGTCTCCTTGTGGAAGTCTCTGAGAAGAGGAAGTAAGGAATCTGTTTGGAGTTGAGTACCTAGGCTGCCAGGAAGGGATCTGCCAGCACTATTCATTCATGAGTAGGGAGGAAGTTGTTTTTGTTTTGCTTTATTTTCAATAGAATTAGGGGGTAAACAGATAAGCAAGGCATAGTTAAATATAAGCCAAAGTTTAAAACCTGGTGTTCTGATATAAAATTATCTGACTATTTAATAATACAGTCAACAATAATAAACCTGGACTGAATCCTGCAGCCTGTGTTCAAATCCTGGCTTAACCACTCATTAGTTTTGATCTAAGCAAGTTACCTAAATCTGTCTACACTTTCTACCCCATTGGATAACAGGGATAAAAATAGTTATTTGTTTTGTCATTTTGTTGAGGATTGTGTGAGTTACTACTTACTATAGTACCCAACACCTAGTAAATGCTTAGTAGATGCTATTTATTATTTTTATTCTATGTGCCAGGCATTCTGCCAGGCATTCACTGAAGTTATGGCAGTAAACAAGGCAGATATGATCTTGTGCATCCACAGAGATGACAGACTACTTAGAAAGACAGACTAGGAAACAGATAATTGCAATATATTTTGTTAAGTAAGCTCATGGCAGGACAGTGCACTACACAACCACATGGGAAGAACACGTGAACAGATTTAAGGATTAGGAAAATACTCCTGTATAAGGTTGAAAGAGGCTTATGATTGTCACTGTGTATTATTAAATAGATAATTTTGCAAAGGACCATGTTCCATGATCTGTTAATCTTGTTAAATAAGTAGTCACTTAGTATATATAAACTGAATCATTGTTAAATAAAGTCTTCAAAAAGTCTCACTTAAATCTCTCATATGTACGACTAAGTAATTTCCTTGTTGGCAGTTTGCTGTCTAGAAAGGGTGCAGGTACATTGAATGTTAAATGTGCAGGCTAGGCTATAGCATCAGACAGACCTGGTTGTGTTCCTCTCTACCTGTAAAGTGAGGATTGTAATAGTACCTACCTCATAGGGTTCTTCGAGGATTAAATATGTATGTGAAACATTTAGTTATACCTAGAACATAATCAGCACCCACAAAAAACTGTTATTATATTATGACTATCATTTCTTTGAGGCTTCTGTGATCTTTTTGTGTACAATAATTCCTGATTACCTGATTGTAATGTGGGTTTATGTGTTGCTCTGTCTTTGATCTAGGTTGTAGGATTTCCCATCCAGATGCCATACACTGATCTACAGTCAGTTATTGATGCCGTGTATCAAACTGGAATTCACTCTTCCGAATTTCCCCAGGCAGAATTTGCATTAGCTGTGTACATTCACTCATACCCAAGTAACATATTGTCTGTGTGGGTTTATTTGGCTTCCTTAGCCCGATATAAGTGAAAAGGCAGAAGAGAAAAGGAAAAGATTTTGGTGTCCTTGTGGGGTCTGGAAGAAAGGAAAATAAGGAAAAAAATAAAAAGAAAAAATAATAAAAATATTTAAAAAAGGAAAAGATTGTGCTATGACTTCCTAGACCAGGAGCAAACCAGACTTTTCTGGTACCTTGGGATTTTGCTGCTTATTCTAAAATCTAGCCAAGTGCTGAACCCAATTTTTGATTCACTTATCAAGTTGAGCAGTATGGAGATTTATTCCCCTGGGTCTTTGAGGATGAGTCTAGATGCCTCCTCACCAGACACCTCTTCAAGGAGGACCCTTTGGGAAGTCTGGCTGTCTTGGGTCACTGTCTACAGTAAGGCTTATTCTGGGAAAGAAGCAATTCTGGCCTTTCCCCCTAAGGCCAATGTTTCTCAAATTGTGGGCCTCACACCATCTCCATCAGAATCACCTGGAGAGCCTTGTTGAAAATGTAGATTCCCATATCCTATGCAAGACCTATTAAAGTAGAACCTCTGGGAGTAGAGCTCCAGAACCTGCATTATTTTCAACAAGCACCCGCAAATAATTCTGATGCACTTTTAAAAGGAAGAACCCAGACTTATAAAATGTTGTCATTACAAAAGTAAGGCTGGTACATTTGATGCTGGTTCTGATATAATTTCAGGTAGATGTTACTCAAATGGAAACCTAAGGTCATTGCCTCTCATAGATAAAAGGTTATTTCACTGAGAAAGAAAAAAAGGAAAATCTACCATGTTGGGCTGATACATCAACTTTTGGAGGCTCTCAAAAGTTTACACCTGATGAAAGTTTGCTACTGATGTGAAATCTTTATACCTCCAAGTATTTGGAAGGGACTCCCAGAGAGCTCTAATCTTATCTAATCTCTCCCAATTCTCTGAGGGAGGAAATGGTCTTGACAAATCTCAGGGCTCCTTTTTTCCTTAGTGAACAGCCCCTCACTCTGCCTCTGGCACTTTTTGCTGCTTTTTTTTTTTTTTTTCCCTAATGGTGGTCCATCTAGATCCTAGGAGCGCCTTAAGAAAAAGTGGACAGGGATCTAAGTAGAAGGCATTATACTTTCTTCTCATTGATTATTTTGTCTTTATTAAGAAAAATGTTTATACAATTTACTTAAATGTGACATAACAACTTATTATTTAAAAGAAATAATCAAGGGATACAGATTTCCAAAGGTTGACCCTCTAGAGCAGTTTTATATGAGGTAAAGATAAGAGAAAGATAATTCATCTCTCCCATAACAGAACCATTGGAATTCCTTGGTTCACTTTCACAAGCAGAGACCAGAAACCCCAAATTCATCTACAGGGAACCCCCAATCTGCATCCCTTACCCAAATGTGCCTGCATGTGCCTGTGCCAAAGAAGACCTCATTTATTTGCAGTGATGTTAAACCAAGCTTGAGATTACTAGAAAAAGCAAAGTAGATGAAGGAATGTTTTTTCCTGCCAGGTTGAAATCTAATTGTGCATGTCTTGTGGCATGCACTAGAAAACTAATAAGAATTTTTATTTTTATTTGAATGTTTGTGTTTAAATGTTACATGAAATTTTGTTATTAAGTCAAAATGATGCTGATGGAAAGATGAAGTTGCCAAAGAAATACTGAATTCATGTAGTTCACTTCTGTGGAGCTTTGAATGTTTACATAGCTATTTTATTAGTTGTTTGTGGTTTTAGAATTGATAGGCCCCTTAAGAGTAAGGTAGCAAGTGTTCACAGGCAAGCACAGAAGACCTTTCCATATTGTATGCATTTTTTTAGAACTAAATTTTTTTCCTGAAAATTGTGAAATCATATGTAATGAATCATGTTGCATTTAAACATTAAAAATACAGTATTTTAAATGGAATGTATACTTTTAAAGTTTTTTAAGTCATTGCACAAATAATTAGGGAGCATCGTTATGTGCCAGACACTTGAGTATGTGCTGGAGTACAGCAGTGAAAAGACAAAGACCCTACCTACAGGTGTGAAGCTTACATTCTTAGCAGGGCAAAGAAACCATAGCATATAAACAGCAAGTGAGTGGGAACATTTCAGGATGTGATTTGCGTACTATAAAGGAAACAAATAGGATGGGATGATAAAGAAGGTATTTGGTGGGGATGAAGGTTGTAAGCAGAGTAGTCAGAGAAGGCTTCTCTAAGGAGATAATATTTAAGCTGAAATTTGAACAATGATTTATCAATTAGAAGTGCATCCAGTTGCATGTAGTAGAAACCTAACCACAGTAGCATAACCAAATAGGGATTACTTTTTCACATCACTGCAGGTCCAAGTCTGGTGTGGTGGCTCTATGATGTTGTAGGTATACTAGCTTCATCCAACTTCTTGGCCATCTCTGAGGTGGCTTCTATCTTCTACCTCAGTGGCTTTCAATTTCAGCAAATATAAGAATCACCTGAAGGGCTTGTTGAAACAGATGCTTGCCCCACCCCTAGAGTTTCTGATTCTGTGGGTCTAGGGTGGGGCCTGATAATTTGTACTTAAAAATTCCTGGGTGATGTTGAGACTGCTGATCTGGGGAGCACACATTGAGAAGCTTGGCTGTAGTTTCACAAGCATTTTCATGGCCAGAAAATACAGAAAAAGAGTGGGATGGTAGAGTATGTCAGCTGGTTTTGCTGTTTTAAAAATGCTTCGCAGGAGACCATTCCCAGTATCGTCTACTTATATCCCACTGGCCAGAACTTTATCACTCCTATGGCTACAAGGGAGGCTGGGAGATCAAGTGTTTTACATGGATATATTGCTCCCCCGACTAAAATCAGCATTCTGTTGGTGAAGAAGAAGAGGAAGGTGGCTGTTGGGTGGGCAGCTCACAGTCTACCACAGGTGAAAGGAAGCCAGTAGTGCAAAGATCTATGATAAAAGTATTCAAGAGGAAACTTTGATTGCAAAGGTCTTCAGTCCAAAAAGAGACTTGCCAGGGGAGGGGATAGCCTCCATAAGGCTGGAGAGGTACATCAGGACCAGATCACGTGGGTCATAGTAAAGAGTTTAGATCTTACTTATAGTGCAGTAGGAAATTGTTGAAAGGTTTTAAGCTACTGAATAAAATAATATTTTTTCTTTTTTATATTTGAGATTACTTTAAAAACTTTTTACAGATATTAATTTCTTTTTTCATTTTTTTAAAATTCTTTTCATTTTATTACTCATTATTTTGTATAAGTGCATAAATGTGACCATGTTTTTAAGTGCAAGTTTTATTTTTCTTTTCCTTTTTTCTTGGGTCCCTATCCCACTGTTCTTCCCTCCTCCACTCACATTATTTACTTCTCCCACCTCCTTGCCAACTAAGTATGTATCCTTTCACTTAACCAACATTTTCAAATATTCATATGCCAACACACACACACATGCACGCATACATATGCATCTGTTCCTGTTTATTTTAGAAAGATGAGAACACATTATATATGTTTTTCTGCATATTGCTTTTCTCCTTCAAAAATAGTGAAACTCCCCCAAGCAAACTATTCATTCTTCTTAAGGAATGCATAACAGTCTATAGTGTGGGCAGAACCATTAAATACACTTAAGTAGGTTATGCACCACACAACTCAAAGTTTATGTGCAAGGACCCCTGGAGTTGTATGTTGCAGCCCTGGTTGTGCATGTTATTTATTATAACTTATTCAACCATTCCCCTACTGATGGGAATTTCTTTTTTTTTTTTTTTTTTGAGACAGAGTCTCACTGTGTTGCCCGGGCTAGAGTGTTGTGACGTCATCCTAGCTCACAGCAACCTCCAACTCCTGGGCTCAAGCGATCCTCCTGCTTCAGCCTCCCGAGTAGCTGGGACTACAGGCATGCGCCACCATGCCCGGCTAATTTTTTCTATATATTTTTAGTTGTCCAATTAATTTCTTTCTATTTTTAGTAGAGACGGGGTCTCGTTCTTGCTCAGGCTGGTTTCGAACTCCTGAGCTCAAACAATCCACCCGCCTCGGCCTCCCAGAGAGCTAGGATTACAGGTGTGAGCCACCGCGCCCGGCCAGGAATTTCTTTTGATACAGTTGGTTGATGCATTGTTTAATTTTTCTATATCCTGCTGTTTTTCTGTCTACTAGTTCTATCAATTACTGAGAAAGATGTGTTGAAGTTGCCACCTGTAATTATGAGTTTACCTATTTCTTCTTTCACCTTTATTAGTTTTTGCTTCATGTATTTTGAAGCTCTGTTGTTAGATGCACACGCACTTAGGATTTATGTGTTCTTGGTGAATCAACCTTTTTATCATTAGGCAATGTCCCTCTTTATCCCTAGTAATTTTCTTTGCTCTGAAGTCTATTTTGCCTGATGTTAATGTAGCCACTCTAGCTTTCTTTTGATTAGGGTTTACCTGATATATATTTTTTCATCTTCTTATTTTTAATGTACCTATATAATTATATTTGAAGTGAGTTTCTTGTAGATAGCATATATTGGGGTTATGATATTTTTAATACCATCTGACAATCTCTTTTTTTAATGGGTATGTTTAGACCATTTACATGTAATGTAATTATTGGTATGTTTGGACTTAGGTCTACTATTATTTGTACTCTGTTTGTTCTGTTTTTGTTTCATTGTTTCCTCTTTCCTATTTTCTTAGGTTATTTAAATATTTCTTAGTATTTCATTTTAATACATCTATTATATTTTTGACTACATGTTTTTGTCTATATTTTTAGAAGTTTCTCTAGGGATTATGCTAATACATATTTAACTTTTCACAATCCATACAGAATCTACTTTTTACCACTTCAAGTAGAATGTAGAAATGTTACCACATTCCATTATCCTTCTGTCTTTATGGTGTAGTTGTCTCATATATTGTACCTGTTGAAATATACATTGAAAACACTAGAAGATAACGTTAACATTTGTGCTTTCAACCATCAAATATCCTTTACAGAACTCAAGTAGAGAAGAGTATTTACGCAGACATTTATCATTCTGTTCTTCATTCCTGATATGCCAAGTTTCCTTCTGGTGTCATTTTCCTTCTGTTTAAAAAGTGTCCTTTGGCAATTCTTTTAGAGCAGGTTTACTGACAACAAATTCTTTTGTTTTCCTTCATCTGTCAATGTCTTTATTTCAACTTCATTTCTGAAGGATATTTTTGCAGGATATAGAATTCTGGGTTGACAGTTCTTTTCTCTCAGCACTTTAAAAATCTTGTTCTAGTTCTCTCTGGTCTCTTACTTTCTGATAAGATATCCACCATCCTTTGAATCTTTCATTATTCACCTATAAATTATGCCTTTTTTTTCTCCGATTGTTTTCAAGAATTTTTCTTTTTCAGACATTATTTTCTCTAATATTTTTCTGTACCACATTCTTTCTCCTTTCCTGCAGGGACTCCAGTGACATTAGGCCACTGGGTATTATCCCACAGGTCTTCAAGTGTCTGTTCATTTGTTTCTGTCTTTTTTTTCTTTTCTTTTCTTTTTTGAGATGGAGTCTTGTTTGTTGCCCAGGCTGGTCTCACACTCTTGGGCTCAAGCAAGCTCTTGTCTTAGCCTACCAAGTAGCTGGGATTTCAGGCATATGCCTCAATATCTGGCTGTTTCCACCTTTTTTTCAGATTGTATTATTTCTATTGCTCTATCTTCAAGTTTACTATTCTAATGAGCCCATTCAATGAATTTTTTTTTAATTTTTGGGTTTTTTTGTATATTTTTAGTTGTAAAATTTCTATCTAGTTCTTTATATTGTCTCTTTCTTTGCTGAAACTTTCTATCTTTCCATTCA